GCGTCTTTTAGGCTACTTGGCTCCCACAAAGGAGGGGAGGGGAGATGATCACACCCTTGCAATTCCCACAGGCACAAACGGCACAGAATTCTTGTTCCCCAAAGCCATTTCTGGGAAGAAGGTGCCAAAAGGGGGGGGGGCGAGCAAGGGATACAGGAGATGGAGGAGAAATGAAGTGGGGGTGGATAGGAGAGAGGGGGAGCAGAGAGGCTAGAGAGAGGAAAGAGGAGGGAGAGAGAGAGAGATGGAGACAAGGAACAGAATGGAGAGATGGAGGAGGAAGTAACGATGGAGGAACAGAAGTAGAGAGGTGAATGGGGAGGGGCTAGAGAGGGATGGAGAAGGAAAGAAGATGGAAGGACAGAGGCGACAAAGCTTCCTTTCTTGGTTTTGTTTAGTGCGGCGAAACATGCTGCTGTCAAGGAAATCGGGCATAGAGAAATTAGAGAGCGCTGTCCACAAGGACTCAGACATCATCCCCCAGGGGGGTCATGGTGGCAAGCGGGGAGGGGCAGTCTACCTATGCTGCTGAAGCACCTTCTCTCAGCCCCCACAGGAGGAAAAAGCGGAGGAGGGCAGGTCTGTGGTGAGGTTTCCCCTTTGAAGAAGAAAGGAGAACTGGAATGGAGGGGAAAGCGAGAAGCAGGGAGAGAGAGAGAGAGAGAGAGAGGGAGGGAGGGAGGGAGGGAGATGGAAAGCGAGGAGGAAGAGCAGGGAGAGGAGGGGGAGGCGTGAGGGGGCGGCGCTGTGTGAGTGCCAGTGTGTGCATGAGCGCACGCTGAAAGTGCCTCTGCTCTGCATAGGGGTGTGGACAGCGTGAACACACTTCTGCTGTGCACAAACACCTGCATGCTGGGTGGGCACACACTAGTGCATTAGTTCTCTCACAAGCATACAGGGCACAAATACACATGGTTTTGGACAAAAAGTATATGTATTTTTTGTCCTTCCTTCCTTCCTTCCTTCCTGTCTGCCTGTCTGTCTGTCTGTCTGTCTGTCTGTCTGTCTGTCTGTCTGTCTGTTTATCCATCCACCCATCCATCCAAATGTGGCATGTAAATGTTTCTATAATTCTGAACTGTATGAATGCTAAAGAATATCTCTTCGGTCATTTTTATAACAACATGCTCACCCTATTTCACTGTAGGCATCATCATCAGCTATAAAATGGCACATACTGATGCCTGAGCAGGCAGAAGCACACAGAGGGCGGCTCTACATCGGGGTGGGCAAAATTCAGCCTGTCAGATCTTCCCGGAGTACAGTGTCAGTATTCCTCAGCATTGGGGATACTGGCTAGGGTTGATGAGAGTTACAGGTCAACATGGAGAGGGCTATACATCACCCACCACTGCGCTGCACTACAATTGTCAAAGTAGGCCAGGGCTGGGCTGAAGGCGATTTAAGTAGCCACCATCAGTTTTCCTACACATTAATGTGGAATCTAGAAAACAAGATCTGCATCACAGTGCATGATGTTTTTGCTGCAAGCAAGCTGCTCAGTTTTAGAGAGAATCAGATGACCTTAGCAACCTGTCAGAATATCATCTGGAGACAGGTGCATCAAGCCTATGCTCAAGACCACAGTTCGCAATGGGTCCAGTTTGTGATGGCTATTCTCATCTTCTAACTATAGCACCTTTCCACAAGCTGCTGATGGAGAGGAAGGTGAATTATGAACAGGGAAGCCTTGGCTCAAATTTTGCCTCGGCTATGCTATAAAATCCCTTTCAGCCTCAGAGTCCTATTTGCAAAGAGGGATTACAATATAGCTCTAATTGATAAGGTTACTGTATTTCTGATGTGCTTATGAATACTGAAAAATACTATATAAACAGTAAGTATGACTGTAATTGGCAACTCAGGCATATGACTCATCTGTTATCCAAAACAAACACCACAGTTCTCCACGGCATTGCAACCCTTCTGAACGTAATCTGAGCGCCGGCATGCAGCAACACGGCGGCTTCTGAGTGTAGCTGATGAATCAGATTTGTTTGCCACAAGAAACACACAGAGCGCACCAGCTTTTGGCCACAACGGCTACCGTGCACTGGCTCAGCTGGCTAATCTTTGTACTTGACCTTCACCCTCCCCACCCAGCCTTTTCTGCCACCACCACCAACCGCCTTCTCCCTTTGTCAACAGGTGCAAAAGGTGAACAGGTGACAGGCAAGCCACCAAACTCATTTTCAATCTACTGGGTAGATTTTCTTCTGTCATTAGATTTCTGCATGCTTTGCTCTATTTTCTCTGGGGGTTTTTTTTGTCTGTACATATTTCTGACTTGCATATGATTTTCTTAAAAATACTGTGAAAGAAAAGCAATTCTTAGAAATGTGAAGGCCAGGAGATGAGAGGGAAACCAACGAACAAAGAAACAACAATACTGAAGCCTGAGGACTGCCTTTTTGTCAAGTTAACCACAGTCCTGGCTGTTTCAAACATTCGGTAGAGTCATACATGCAGCATCATCCTCCACACAGCCATGGCACTTCAGGATGCAAATGAAGGGGATGGGGTTTGCATGAGGAAGTCCCATCCCAAGCGGATTGTGTGCTGGTGAACATGTTTGACTAAAACCTTTCTCTTTTCTCATGCACTCCTACTCAGATAAAAAAAAGCCCAAGTGAGCTCAATGGGGCTTATTCCTGGGTAAGAGGGTGCTGACATTTCAGCACAGGGATTCTGATGAAACTGGGGCTATCAAGCCAGTTATTCCCAGTGGCACAGTCACACGATGAGGAATGTGCTGTGGGCTCCCTCACAATGACTCTTGCAATACATGCAAATGTTTGAATGAATTTTGACTGCTGTGTCAGAACTTGGTCCACAGGTAGTTTTCACCTATGATTGCTACACATTTCTGCTACTTAGGATGCAGTGAATGCAACCACTCACATGAATTTTGATTATTCCACACACACACACCCTGTAATGTTTTCATATTCTCTTCAGTTGTCTCCAGATGAATGCTTGCTTTAATGTATCACATATAGAGTACACTGACAGCTGAAGAAATGCAGCCACATGTACCAATAACGCACATACATATGAATGCTCGTATACACAGTTTTAAACATCCCGCATTCTCAGAATGAATGGAGGCCAGCCGCAGCCACATGTACCAATAACACACATACATATGAATGCTCGTATACACCGTTTTAAACATCTGAATTAACACACCCGCATTCTCAGAATGAATGGAGGCCAGCCTTCTGAAACACATGATTCATAACCGGGAGATTGGCTTGGCCTAGTCTACTTCGCTGTGCCATGTGTGTCCATCTTATGACATGCAAGTGTACCCTGGAGCATGGTAGAGCAATATCCCCCTTCATTTCAGTTTCTAGTCCTCATGGTTGCAGAGACAGGGAAATGAGCAAAAACATCCAGTTCAGTTCTCAGGAATGCAGCTCCACTTTTATAGCTTCTGTTGCATATACAGTGGTGCCTCGCATTGCTACATTAATTCGTTCCGCAAAAATCGTTGTTGCACGAAAACATCGCAATGCAAAATAAAAAAGCCCATAGAAACGCATTAAAATGCGATTAATGCGTTCCTATGGGCTTAAAGCTCACCATTCAGTGAGGATCCTCCATAGCACGGCCATTTCTGGTGCCTCTTAAGTAAGGAATCTGTCCCAGAAAACAGGGGGGCGGCCATGTTTTTTCCCAGCGGCCATTTTGAAACCACCGATCAGCTGTGCGAAAAGACCCCATAGGGAACATCGCAAAGCGATCACAAAAGCGATTGAAAAATCTTCATCGCAAAACTATTTCATTGCTAAACGGAGCGCTCGCTAAGCAAGGCACCTCTGTAGTACCTATCAACCCCTACAGTGGAACCTCTACTTAAGAACTTTAAGCGAGGAATCTGTCCCAGAAAACAGCGGGCGGCCATGTTTTTCCCCGGCGGCCATTTTGAAACCGCCGATCAGCTGTGCGAAAATAACCCATAGGGAACATCGCAAAGCGATCGCAAAAGCAATTGTAAAATCTTCGTCGCAAAGCGATTTCATCGCTAAACGGAGCGCTCGCTAAGCGAGGCACCACTGTAGTACCTATCAACCCCTAATTATCTGTGCTTTTCATGCCAGCTACACTCAGCACTGCTGCCCTTCCCTCAGCAACATTTCAAGGTAGAACTTTGCTGGAAGGTGCTTTTAAAAACTGGGGAGCTAAACTCAGCTCTAGGATCTGTTTTTTGCAAATGTAAGGTGAAGTGAGCACTGGCTGTGTCTGTTGGGAAGAAATATCACCCTTTAGCCCCTCCTTTCCCTTAGTCTGATCCATAACTAAGGCACAGTTCTTCACCTCATATAAGTAAACTGCTAAACACTGCAAAATCACTGCCCAGTAATTTCTTGTGATGGAGCAGATTCAGCAAAAGACATGGTGGTTCTGCCTGATCAAAGAGAAGGGCAACCCAAGGACAATTTGTTAAAGTCACCCATATAGAAGTTCATATTGGTCTAGGCTAACAATTTGGTAGCTCCAGCGGATGTGCACACATCAATGAAAAAAGCACTCTTCTGCATAATAATGCAAACACTGATCTGGTCTGCCCACGTCTTCTCCTGAATGCAACTGTCAGTCTGGGAGGCACCATCATTCAGTTTTAATGTGCATATATGTAGGTTCTTATAACTCAGGGATGCTATCTGAAAATTGAGAGAGCAGGAAAGGTCACAGATATTATTAGAGAAAATTTATCAGCTTTCACTCATGAGACAGCCTGCTTTATTTCCCCCTTAGGAACTGACTGAGGAGGAACGGGAGGGTTTCCCCCTCTGTTAGAGAGCAATGAGTGATTGTGTCACATCAGCAGCCTTTATTTCAATCCCCAGCTTCCTTTCAGATGTATTTGCATTCCTAATTATTAACAAGAATGGCCAAAACCCTATTGCATATTTACACATTTGGACCAGCAATTATGGGAATTGACATGACCATCTTGTCTTTTGACTGGAGCAACATCCATGACCGTTTTTGTATGTGCATAAATATCCATAGGATATCAGCCAATGTGCTTAACAGATCCAGAAGAAAAAGTTGAAGGATGAGTTGTGGATGTGCAAAGACAAGCAAGAACTAATGCAGCTGCATTTTGCCCATCCTCTCTATTTGAGAGACATTTTGCTGGTCAAATATTACATTTATGGGGAGATCCATGAGCAGAGAACTCAGTCTTCTAGCAAGCCTTTCCTGCACAAATCATGTGAATCAGGAATTCCAGAAGAATGGATTCCCCTCCCCACCCAATTAGGCATTTTCCCATACACTCTTCCATGGAGACCAAACATGGTGATGAACCCAATCATAATGTATAGGAATGCTGGGAAAAATTTACTTCTGTGGACTACAATTCCAACCCCTATCTTTCCCAGCCATGATGGACCAGGTGATGAGAATTGTAGTCCAACACATCAGGAAGTATGACTGATATAAACTGCAAAAACAGGTTTTCAGTGTGAATTACAATACTGTGATATATTAAGACAATCCGCAAGTGGAGTCTCCTGACGTTCTCCTCCTGACAGTGGTGCTCTGCGTGATGGAGGTTCATGCCCGAAGTGTCCATGCTCTGGACATGGCCATTCCACTTATGTGCAACATCTGTATCCAAGTCC